CAAGACTAGATATATTTAGAATTATCAGATATTAGTTGATATACTATTATCATCAACTTTGTAGTAATGCCCTTTAAATGCATTCGGTCTTGGAAATAGATTTTAAAAACCTCTCATCTAGCCAAAAGATCACTTGAAATTTTTATTCACAAAGATACTTCCTTTCAAGTTTAAATTCACCTCCTTGCTATTGTTTCATCGGATGAATCATGGAAATGATTGCGGTAAACAGTGCTTTACCAAGTCGATACTCTATCACATCACTGACTTTTCTTCTAAAACTCCTTAGAAAGTTAAAAAGGGAAGACCAGCATAGAAAACTTTGAAACTATACAAGCGAAAAAAGTACCATGTCTTTAATGGAGACTGTTTCATTTCCAGAAGTTTCCCCTCAAAAGAAGCAACCAAGTAAATACTTCACACTGAGTAGAGGTTAGCCCTCTTCAGGTTCACTGATGTGATCTGCAGTCCTGTGGCTACATAAGCTGTTTCCTCCTCAAAATAGGGTAGTGTTATTATCATCATTTTGCAATGAGCTAGTAGACTTGAGGTGGGGATCAAGCAGGCTTGATGTGTTTAGAGCATGGGAAAAGGCCTGTCAATTAGTTGATCCATGCCAATCTGGAAAATAAATGCTTGTTCCTCAGTCACCTTCTTCCAACTGCTTCAAAAGTCTAGCTTTCCAAAACACTAGGCTGAAATTGGGCAGCAGGTTTGGACAGACAAAGGGTGAAAGAGAAATTCTAAGGAAAATCAGATGATTTCAAACTCACATGCAAACTTTGCTGTAATAGTTAATTGAAGTGAAAATTACAAACTTTTAGTCAATTTCTAGCATTGGTATTTCCACAAAGCTGAGACTACCTTCCTTCTTCCTTCCTTCCCTCCCTTAACCTTGTAAAACTGCATGCAGTATGTACTCCACAAAGAGTCTGGGATTTAGCTGTATGAGGGAGAATCTTCTGAAATTTCATACTATTGCTATTGCCACACGAACTAGTAACAACACGACTCTAAATAGAATGGCTTTTAGTTGACAGTAAAGTCTATACAAGGATTTAGCATGAAGTATTGGAATAGAAGCAATGGTAAGAGATAAGGAAACGGAGATGTAGAAAAATAAAATTCCTTATTATAACCCTCACAACCAGGAAATGGCAAAAAGAACAGGAATTCAGCTTGTTTGGAGTTCCCACTATTACATAATTTATACACCAAACACCTCTGAGAGTCTTTGGGGGTACATCCAGAGTAGCTGTTCCAATTCCCCAAGCTTTTATATAGTAAGTACACGCTAAGGTAGAAGATGCAGTAGAATATAACAATGGTATGTATTTATGTTAGTATCCACTGAAGTATGAATGACACAACTGCACTATTATACAATTTAAAGGCAGAACTTTACACTTCCTGGATGTTACATAGTTTCAGTAACGACTTTAGTGAATTAATGAATGGAAAATATTTCTCTTTTCAAGTAAAGACAGAGGAGAAGGCATAGCCTTCTTGTGGGTATGATTTTGTCCTATGGCTACAGATTTGTAGTTCTTAATGTATCTTGTGCTCTTGGTTACTATTGCTATTATTTGAAAGCTCCTGGCTGTAGTTATTTAGTAGCATCTAATCAGTGAAAGTTTACGTGTTTCCATTCCAAGCTTTGTAAAAAAAACATGTTTTTGTTCATTACTAAGCTACTATAGCAATTATCTCAGAATTTTAAACATTTGAATGTATGAAAATAATTTATGATAATGACATTAAATAATTCCAGCATGTGGGAGATTGAGGATTTCAGCCTGGTCCCCATAGTGAAATGCTATCTTAAATTAAAAGGTACTAATGTGAAATCCAGAATCCACAGAACATAGAGTAAACCAAGACAAGCGGGACAGTACTGAGTGCCTGGTCCACTAAGACTTAAGTGTAATGAATGGTCTAACTACTTATCTGCTTCATTTCCTGCTAAGCCAGACATGATCACATCAATTTCCTCTATGAGCAAATGTTACACAATAACAACTTTGAGGGGGAGCAAAGTCATTTTGAACTCTAAACATCAGGACCATGAATTAATTGAGTACATACACCTGGAAGGAAAAAATGCCCACCCTAGTTGGAAAGTTTAGTTGTAAAGCATGAATGTAGCATTTGCCACACTCTGGAGGAGGACTTGCCAACTAAAAGGAAAATGAAATCAAATCACTTTTTAAATTAATCACATTTTGAAACTTGTTGTTGTTTGTACATATTTGTTATGAAAATGAATTCTACCCAAGAAGAGAATTTAGTTTTAATTTTTTAAGTGTTCACAAACAAAAAAGGTTAGCTCTCAGCAATGAATAGATGAAAAGTTGTCCTTATGGCAGATGAATTCCCATAGCCAGAGGAAACAATGAGATTAACTGCTTAGTTCCTTCATTCATTTCCTTTCAACAGTTCATTGCCTTTCATGATTACTTCTCGGCATCTCTAGAGAAATGGTAGTTCACATGTGCCTGGATCTGAACTTCACATAAGTGGATTCATGTGCTTTTGTCTGTGATTTGCTTCTCTCATTCAGAATAACATCTCTAGGTTCCCCTTCATGGACTTGGGCCCTGTGAGTCATCTCTGCACCAAGTCATTGGTAAACCTAGTGAAACTCACTTATTCACTGTGTGATTAATATACATCAGCATAGGATCCAGTGCTTCATTATTGTGAGCAAAGCTCCTCCAACATTGTGCATGTCTCCAGCTGCACATTTGTGGCAGCTTTTCCAGGCTTTGTACCTAAAGATGAAATTGCTGAGCCAGAGGGTATTTGTTCCATAGCCACTTTACAATTACCCAGCCACAAGCAATGGATCGGAGTGTGGCTGCTCAGTCTTGCCAACACTTCATATTTCCCAACTTTTAAAAAATGTCTTGGCAAAACTAAAGACTAAAAATGGTATTTCATTGTGGTTTAAGTAGCAATTTTTTGATCTCCAGTAAGGCTACTTAGCCTTCCCCCACTTTCTTGTGCTCACTTGTCTTTTTCTCTTGGTTTGAGGATTTTCATTAAATATGCTAGATTCTAATCCTCTGTTATTTGTGTCTTTTCCCAGTATGCTACTATATCTCCTCTTTTGTGTCATGTATTATGAATGGGTACATTTTGGCTTTGTTTTCATTTTACCTTGTGGTACCAGTAATCCAACCCACACTGTCCTGGGAGACAGTCTGAGCTTCCCCACTGAGTTTCTTTCTTAGCCCTAATGAGACCCTTGTCATTTTAATGTATTTGGTCATGATTTGCAGTATTTCTTTCTTATCTAAAGAAGTTGTATTTATCGGAAAGCTTTAAGAGGATTTCCTCTATTTCTTAAGACTAAACTTTCACCTTTAAGTCTTTAATCCATTTGGAGCTGATTTATAATGGAAGAAATATATTTTTTTTAAGTTTATCTGGATAATGATCACTTTTCTACAATGGGTCTTCTTAAAATTTGGAGAACAACCATAGGGTGATATATAAGAATAAATCCTTCAATGATAGGTAAATTGAAGAGAGGGGATTCCTATAAAGGGAATGATGTCCTTTTCCTATTATTTTATAATGGCAGCTTGATCACAAATGGGGCATATTTACTCATATTGCTTATGAATACTGTACCCTGTGGTATCGTCTACTTGTTAAAATTGAATACTTGCTGTATACCAGGTAGCATTTCACACCCTGAGAACACATCAGTGAACAAGAAGTGTGTGTGTGTGTGTGTGTGTGTGTGTGTGTGTGTGTGTGTGTGTGTGTGTGCCCATGTGCACATGTGGTTTACATTGTAGACAGTTACAATATTAAAAGACTGTTAAGTTGCTAAGAAGAAAGTAAGGTAAAGAAAGGGAGTAAAGACAGTGATGGAAGTGGAGGTAGCAGATATGGCTGCTTTATGTGATGACTCCTCCCTGGTAGATACTATTCCAGATGAGACACAAAGAAACTGAAGTCACAGAGTGTAGGCACCATGAACAGCCATATCAATCATGCCATCAGCGTGATGTCCATCCCTTTGTGAACACTGTAGTCTGAATTTCTACAACTTTATGTAATAAACCCAACATGCAGGCTAAGTCTTTTACAAGCGTCCTTTTCAGTTGACTTTTAAGTGTTCATTTAATTTCTCACTTAATTTCAGAATCTACTTATCAAGTTCCAAATCCAGTCTACAAACAACAAAAGCTTGAGCTATGGTTTCCAACATATTCATGATTTGGCTTGAGGATAACTGACAGCTTTATTTCATCAAGTCTTCCTGATCCAGTCATGAGTATACAGCACATCCTTCCATTTACTTAACCCATCTTTAATGACCCTCAATCCTGCCTTCAGCTCCAGTCTTATTTGCCTTGCCACTCCCTGGTGCCAGCACACTCCTGCTATCCTTAATGACTTTCCATGTCTCAAAGTCATCACGCCTTTTGTGCTCCTCCACCTTTGTACAGACTGTTCTGCTCTGCTGGGGACACCCTCTGCCCTCGCCCTCCTTCCTGTGACTAACTCAGACTCACTGTTCCACACTGGGCTAAGCTTCTTCTTTAGAGAAAGTTTACTAAGAGAGTAACCCTTTTCTCTGTCCTGATGACCCCTATTTTAGTCATTGTTCTAGTCAGATATGAATGTTATCTATTTATATGCCAGCAATAAACTAACAACTTCAAGACAGGAACTATATTCTGTTTCAGGGTACTGTGAACATCCAGTTAATGCCCATTAGATAAGTGAGTATTGACATCTGCTGAGTTTTTATGCAGCTTGGGTATCACTGTGATGACAGTTACTACCAGAGTCCAGAAGAGACTGGGACCCTGAGCACTTGGCATTTCTGGAAGTTTCCTCTCTTAGAGCTGGTTTCACACTTACCTCCAGAAATTTACCACTCCTTAGAACATTTTGTATTTACTTCCAACTTCTGTTAACATTACTAAAGACCATCCCACTTTATGCTTAGGAACTGAAGGGTTAAAGTGAGAAGTGCTTACATTTAAGGATGAAGGTTCTTCTGAAAATATTTTGTTGGAGGCTTGAATCTAAAGCACCAGGCAGGATGCTTTAGGTGGTAGCCTGATCTTGCATTCAGGAAACCTTCACAGGCTGCTTCCATTACTGGAGACCGTAGTGCTGATGAATAGGAGGACATCATCCTGAGTTTAAAATGGGTGCACAATAAGATAAATTTGAAATAGCAGCTTTATTTTATGGGGTCATGTGGTAAGATGTGACACTTTATTCATTGGCATTTCTGACTAATAAGAGAGAAAAGCCCCTTTTCTAAAAGGTGCATCAGTATCAGCTGTTGTGTGTCTTTGCCATGTGCTAGTGGAGTTTGTGACTTCTCTCTCTTACCGACCAAAGACTGATGCCCCAGTGCTTCCCCGGTTTGTCAGTGCAGACTGCTTTTGTCCACTAAGAGGTTGCTACTTCAACTTTCCTCCTCTCCTCCTTGAGAAAGTAACTTGATAGAAATGTTGTCAGTAATCACACCCATACCATGCTCTCTTTGGTGGTTAATATCTCAGATGATCAAAGACAGCTCTATAGGAATTGACAGACTTTACAGTAGAGGTGGATTGGATTTTTCTCAAAGACCAGACTTTGTAACCTGTAAAGGTTAAATTCAATGCTGAGAAACACCCTACTTGAGAAGGAATTGAGTACAGAAACAAAGATAAATGAAACATTCTATTTAACCATGTGTTACAACAGATAAAATTACCCGAGAACCAATTGTTCTTAAAAACCAGGCAAGAAACCAAACAGGTAAGATCCAGTTCTTCTAATGCTTAGACATGTTTTCTGTTTCTCCTTAAGGTAGTGCTAGCACTAAAGCTGCAGGCATAAAACATAGAGATTTGATGAGGTGGCTCTTATGCAACAGAACCCCCAAAGACAATGGAAGGTAACATGGGGCCAGAAGAGAGAGAAGAATCAGAAGAAAGATCACAGTATCCTTGGACTGAACTTTCAGGATCACAGACAAGGAGCTAACAAGGCCTCTTCTCCTTCTTGCTGAAATCACTGTATCAGTTTTGAGGTGAATCCAGGGAGCTCATTGGTATGCTGCATATGGTGTAAGGGTAGTGACAGGCCCCATCATGCTTATCGAGAATGCCCAGTACAAGTTTCTTGGCCCAATGTATTTGCAAAACAAATGTTCAAATTCAGAATTCTGGTCCAATGCAGTGGTTCTCAATTTTCCTAATGCTGAGACACTTTAGTACAGTTTCTCATATTGTGGTGACCCCAAACCATACAATTATCTTTGTTGCTACTTCATAATTGTAATTTTGTTACTGCTTTGAATCATAATGTAAACATATGATGTATAGAATATTGATATGCAACTCCCGTGGGAGTTGTGACCTACATGATCAGAACCACTGGTCTAATGAGACTTTAAGAACCTCTATGAAAATTTCAGCTATTCTTTTTTTTTTTTCAAGACAGGGTTTCTCTGTGGCTTTGGAGGCTGTCCTGGAACTAGCTCTTGTAGACCAGGCTGGTCTCGA